TCTCTCTAGTGAATATTCTCAGGCTGGGTTTATTTTTGAAAGTCAGTTTCTGTACGGACACAAACCTTAAAGTCTCGACTACAAAAAAAATTAAATAAAAATAGAACACATTGATTGTTTGTGAGCAAAAACCATAAAAAGTGGGATTAAAACGAGCTTATTTTAAACTGTAAAAATATTATGAAACAGAACAATTCAGGACACAACTAAAATATCAACTTTTGTCCAGCAAATATTGTAATATTTGGTGGTATACGTTTATAAGTTGAAACACATTAGACTTGCCCAAATACAAATGTGACAATATGCCCCAATCTGAAATTCATTTCAATTCAGATCTGCCTTCATTATCCAGTGTTCAGGTATGTCAGTGTGTTTTATTGTGTTCACTTGTTAAACAGGTATTACTGAATTTTGGTTCGGAGGATAGAGCTCACAGAATGCTTTGGCATGTCCTTATGAAGGTTAAGGTTATGCTATACATGACTTTAGAAACTTGCGGTCAAGTAAACATTTGTTTCAAATTTAGATTAAATTGAGAATGATGTCAGCATGAAGATGAAGATGTTATGCAAATGCTGCAGTCGGAGTGCACTAATGTAATGTATTTACATGCATGTAAATATTGTGATGGGGAGCCGGGTGGCAAAGGAGCGTTCGTGACTGAGGTCACAGTCTAGCTTAATCACCAGTGTGCACTCGACTCGAGCTGCTGCACAGTTAGTGACACATGACGGAAGCCTCCAAAGATTCACGGATCGGCCAGAACGCTGTGTGTATTACACTCTCAGAGCGTGAATCTGATATAGAGCTGGTTTCGAACAGTAAACACGCTGCAGACAAACTGAAATCCATATTTTGACAGAAGAAAGCACTACAGGAGTGTCCCGTCACGCCGGTTTCTCTGCTTCATGTCAGAGTCCGCTTCTGATGTGCCGTTAGGAGTAGCTCGAGAGGTAATCGGGAGCGTGATGCAATGCACACTGTCACAATACTGGGTGAACAGCATACCATTAATAAATCAACAGAGAGAGACAGACACTGCTTTATTATGAGATCTCAATCAAGAAGATCACATGAAAAGCATCTAAAATACTTGAATGGAATCCAGTGGAATTGTTCAGAGAAGATTGAACATTTTGTCATTATTTAATCAGCTTCCTGTCATTCCATCCTCATGTATTGTTGCCTGTGGGATTCACGCAGCTCTTTTCCATACAGTGGGCCATAGTGACCATGACTGCCAAACTCCAAAAAAATAATATTATAACATTTTTAAAAATAAACTTTATACTCCTGCTTTTTCTGGTGGAAGGTAATTGTAAGATAATTGCTTCACCAATTTGTAGTTGATGCTGATTATTACCAGACCACTCGAAAGCCAAAGAACTCCAAAATATCCTCAAGAAACACTGCCACTAGAGACCAAAGATTAGAGACATCTGGACAATCCCAGAAGATCTGCAGGAAAGTGCCAACTGTATGCAAATTGTATTTTGTAAGGGAGAGGAAAAACTTCTGAATAAACTTGAAATGAATCAACTGGTGCGCAGGACATTTAAGCGAATTTTTAAAAAGCACAGCTTCGCCCTTAACAATTGTTCAAAGATTTCAACTATAATTACTGTTTAGAAGTGATACAACAAAATGAAGTGGGTTTACATCAAATGTGTTCGCATTAAAATGATTGATTTTCATGAATCTGTAATTTAATTCTAACACTTCCAGTCTTTTCCATTTTGCGAACATACCTGAAAGTGATGCATGCGCTTCACCTGGAGCGATTTTTTTTTATATTCATATGTCATACAGCAACATAATATGCCTACTTTTTACATATCATAAACATAGATTTACTATGTAATATTTACATATGTTAATTATCAGAATATGTGCTGATTCATATATTACCAAATAAACTCCATGTATAGTCATGGCATTCAAAATTCCACCAAATATTATAATTTCTCCCATTGAATTAATGAATTAATGAAGAAAGAATTTTCACTTTTTTAACGCAGAAATGTCCCCTTAAATTGCCCTGTCATGTTATTTTCCACGGGTATATTCATATGACAGATATAGAAAGTGACAGTTTGATCGGATGTTACATGTGGCCTTTTTAAAGAAAATGTGACCTTGTGTATGAATGTTGTTACGTGAAGTAAAAGCATGCATGTTGGTGTTTCTGTGAGTCTGATCTCTGAGTGTGCTGGTGCTGCAAGGCATGCTGGGATGCGTTGACCTTTTCCTCCGATCATTATTAATACATGCAGGGTATTAGGAAAGGTTAATGAGTGAGAGGAAGGCCATTCTCTCCGAATGCAAACAAGAGCCACAGAGCGTCGGAAGCGCTGACTAAGTGGAAAAGTGCAGCGATGTCAGGTGAAGATGTGCTCAAATCAAACGCTTTAGCATCCATTCGCAAAACTCAGCAATATTTTATCTGACGGTGTGTTTTTGACGATCACTCCCATAAATCAATAAAAACCTGTTATTGGGAATGAAAGTCATCATGAAGATGAACCAGGAGCCACTTCATCATTTTCAGACTTTGAAGGGAAATGACCCAAAACTGTTGAAGGAATACTTCACTCACAAACCAATAGTTCTGTCATCATTTACTAAACCTTGTGTCTTTATAAAGAGTCTTTTTGTGGCTCTTTTCCATACAATGATTCTTCAAAATGACCTCGGCTGTCAAGCTCCAATAAGAGAAGTGTACTAACAGTAGTCCACATGACTCTTGCGCCACATTCCAAGATTTGAAGTTATATGATAATTTTGTGTGAGGAACAGACTGGAATTTAAGTGCGTCTTAGAAAACATCAATGGGTAGAGATTGCTAGAATGGTGGAAAGAGTTATAATAAGGTGCTCTATAGAGAGGTTACACTTAATATCCAAAAAACAGCATTTCCATGGCGCTCCTAATACATTTTAAAAAGCATGTGTCATGGAAATGCTCTTTTGTTTTGGATATTAAATGGTTATTCATTGAAAGTTAAAGAGTTTAAAAAACAGAGAGCTAAAGGCAGGGAAAGATGTTCTGTGAAATTGGTCTGTTCCTCACAGAGAGGTATCATATAACGTCAGAAGACTCGCACTTGGCAGGTTTGGTTCAAACTGCACTAGAGTTCGTTTGGAAGGGTTTCCGATCATTGGGTGCACACCAAAAACCCACCTTTTCAGGGCGTCTCGGTCCGCTTCCAAACGAACCCTGGTGCGGTTCGACAGCTATTTGAATGTAACATGGACCGAAGACATCTAAACAATCTGATGCACAAGATGTGACCTTAAAAAGGACAGGATGCTCACACATACCTGGTTCATCTCATCACAGCGACTGTTGCCCATTAAACTCTGCCTTTAATATGGCATTCCTGTTCCTCTAGACCAGTGGTTCCCAACCCTGGTCCTGGAGGCACCCCAACACTGCACATTTTGCATGTCTCCTTAATCAAACACACCTGATTCAGGTCATCAGCTCATTAGTAGAGACTCCAACACCTGAAATTGGTGTGTCAGAGAAAGGAGACATGCAACATGTGAAGTGTTGGGGTGCCTCCAGGACCAGGGTTGAGAACCACTGCTCTAGACTACAGCTCCAGAGGTCATCCTCCTTTATTTAAACCATTAGTCTACCATGATTTTACCTCAGTGACTTGAGTTCAGTTTGTCTAAAACAGAGCGATTCTTTTCTCGCCCCACGCGCTAAACACATACACACCTGCCTTGATACAAAATCTGAGCGGAGATAAACTTTAGAGACCCCCGGTGCCGCTTTCAACTCTGTTCCCAGGCCAGCAAGAGTCTTTGTTGATAAGCCATAAACGTCCACAAAGCTATCCGGGGATCACAAAGGCTCTGGTGCCATTTTCATTAGAGCAGACTGATGGGTTATTTGGGGCTGAAACTCAAGAGCGTTTACCTGTCTGTGCTCCCTGTCCTCTACAGATTAAGACGGATGGCACGCCATCTGATCCGCATGCAAATGTGACCACTTTTAACACACAAGGACCCCACTGATCTGACAGACCGCCGACTGCGCCCACGCATGTCTCCGCAGGCCAAGAAAGTGCACATTTGGCAAGAGCAGGCCTCCCGCTACGTGCTCCACGTTTGCAGACACACATGCGGCGATGCGCTCCAACAGCAGACACGTGCCGCATGCGACGGCAGCCATGTGGCGCTCTGGGATGGGCGGCAGGAGTCGCAGTGCAGCCGCTCTCTCTCTCATGCCAGGCAGGGTGCAAAGCACACCAGCATCACTGAACCCAACACGTATTCTGCCAGGCGGCATAGCGGGAGAAACAGCGAGGGTGAGACAGGACGCGTGTGCATGTGTGAGAGGAGTGTGTGCGCTTGCCACTATCCCAAACCAGTCAGACGCGCCGCGACTCGACAGGAAGCTGTGACACCGCGAGCTGACATGTTGTGCGGTTGCTTGTGAAGCACGAGAGATTTAGGTGCGAAACAGATGTCAGAGATGCTGAAATACAAAACGCGTTAACCTGTGACTGCTGACAGGCCTGCCTCGCTGAGTTTATCAACAATGTGTTTATGTTGCATAACTGGGAGAAAAGTCACACGTTGACCACTCGTCCTGCCTTCATATGACCAGTCTCAGTGTCAGCGGTCCTGAGAACTTTCATGTTCACAGGAATCATTACACTCTCATTGCATTTGGCATGGGGAGCTTGTTATGATGGACCCTTTTCACATTTCTGGGTTTCTCAGAAGCAGAAGTCGTCATAGTTTAGTGGTTCTATAGTGGTGAATGGAAATTACAACAAATATATTTTTGTGTTTCCATTTGCAATTGTATGACTTTTCAAAAGAGGAAAACATTATTGAGAGATTGGCGGAGGTCAAACTGCATCAGTTTCTGTCCTGTTTTCAAAGAAAAAAACAAGCCTGTTATACATGAACATGTCAGATGTAACAGACAAAAATCATACATAATATTTTACAAGCCACAAAAAAGTTGTTACCATTTAATGTATTTATTTTACTGTATTTTCCTAACAGATTCGCTGGCATGCTGTCAAAGCCTTTTCATGATGATGGTAAATAAATAATTTCCAACCTCTCACATCGAGCAATCTGAGATTTTATGGTCCAGAAATACTTTATGTATAAAGACATTTCCTTCACAACATACTGCTTCTGCCTTCATTTCTCTAAATACCATCATTTTATCCAACCTTAAATATTAATCGATTTTCTTTGTGTGCTTTCAAAGAAAGGACCAAACCATTATAAAACCCTGAACATGTCAAATGGTTTGCTTAAAATCACTAATATAAATCGCATAATGTTTATTCTTTATACAGCTCGTTTCCTTTCTCCTTGTCTTGGCTTTGTAAAAAAAAAAGAAAATGTGTGCCATATAAACCTTTCTGGTCATTAAATTGGATTGCAGCTCTCACAGTGAATGTCTCTTATCTTTCACAGAGGCAGCTGCTTCATAGGTCTATTGGAGGAAAACCGCGCCGCTCTCCTGCTGTGCTTCTGTGACCTTTCTGTGAATGAGGTAATGACGCGGGCATTCGTGCAACACAGCTTGTGCATGACCGCTGCTGACCACCGGGGGCAGAGTCGCCCACTCATTCGCCCGGGTCAGTAACGTGGCTCTCAGTGGAAAGTGAAAACCTGTGGAGGGCCAGGGGGTGCCGTCTTCTCCCGTGTGGAGTGGAGCGTAACGACCCTCCTCCCGTGACTCGCCGGCCCTCGCCAGGGCTGTAAAAATGTCAGGAGGCAATCACTGTCCTCCAAAAGCGCTTCCTCCGCATAAAGAGGCCCCCTCCTTTAACCTGCTAATGTGCGCCGCATTCAGCCTCCCTCGTCCGCAGGCTCACCTGAAACAGTTAAAAATGGCTTGAGCTTGTGGCGCTTCTTGGCTCTCCACACAATGGCTCTCGCTGCACCTGTCACTCAGTGCCACGTATAATTGATCACATTTAATTATTGCGCCACAGCTGACAGCGGCGCTGCTTCCAGTGCTGGAGAGCAGCTCATTGGTTTTGTTGTCTGATGCATCATTGACTGTTTTTACAGAGAGACAGACAGGGCGGCGGATTAGCCCTCCGGGTGCGATGCACATACATTAGCCACTTCCCGTGCCGGGAACAACACGGGGCTCAGACTATTCTAGAACGTAATGGCATCTTGTCTTACAGGCACAGATCTATAACACTTTACAGCTTTTGGAGAGGGGCATAAAAGACCGAGATTCAAATTCTGATGCTTTCGCTTCAGTTAATTTTCACTTAAATTGGAATCTCTCAAATGATTTCAAAAGAATTAACTGATAGTACTAGATTATAAAAAATAAAAAAATAAAAAATCACAAAGTAACCTCTTGACCACACAGAACAGGTTTTTCATCTGTGCTTCGCCTGACGGAGGGTGAGACTGAGACGAGTCTGTTCAGCACTCACAGAAGCTGCATGTGAATAAATAATCACGGTTTAGAGCTTTACCCAGTTATCAAAACCTGCCATTAAAAGATTGAGTTTAAATACTTGAAAACGGATTTGCAGACATGTTGTAAAAGCCTTTTAATGATGACGGTAAATAAATAATTTTCAAACTCTCATATCAACCAATCTGAGATTTTCTGGTCCAGGAATGCCTCACATTGGACCCACTCACTTTCACCGTCTCTAATTCAGCGCATATTGTTATAACGCTAACAGTTATCTGATGTTTTTGCTAGGCTAGGCACCAGAATACAGGAAATGGCATCTACTCCAGAAAATTTTTCTGGACCCACCCACTTTATTTGTTTTGCTTCCGACGCCCGCATCTGACCATCAGTTTACATTTGCATTCATGCTTTTAGCAGATGCTTTTATGCAAAGCGGCTTATAGCAATTCATCCAAGAGCCAACAATATTCGTAATATACAATGCTGGCTTTACCCAACCAGCTGTAGGCCGTGTGTCCACCAGTGTTTTTTTCCTGTACCTAGCTTATTTTTTCAATTGTTTTCAATGGGAGTCTATTTCACACTGAGCCCTTTCCATTTTTTTTTCTGATCATTTGGGAGTTTAAAAATTTTCAACTTTGGGTAAAACAGCGCTTATCACTGCAACATCCAATCACAGTGGAGGAAGGGTGGGATAAATGTCACCAACTGTCTACCTCTACAACAACTGAACAACAAAATATTGCTTGGAGGAACATTTTGAAGGAACAACTAAGTAACCAAACAATCGCCATTACACTATTGCCAGCGTATGTCACATGGTAAGCACCATTGGTGAGCACGTACAGCAGGAGGTGCTCAAGCCTTCAGAGACGCCTAACACAGTCTACAAACATCTGCATCCTCTTTGCAATCATGGAATGATCCTCAAAGCAGGGCATTCATTTGTCCTCCAAAAGCTTCAAGCTAGATTTCCACCTAGCCAGAATTCCAAGATTTCGTGCTTTGTTTTAAAAACACCTCATTCAGTCGGCACTCGGCAGATCGTCTCTGGCACTGCATCAAGTGTGTTAACACATTGTTTTGGCGTGGTTTGGACTGTGAAGTCCATGGCTCATTTGGCCTAATGACAAACCTGCAGTCCTTGTGCAGCTCAAGCCCCAGCTGGAGATCTAGATTTAATGTGTCAAGCACGGTCGAAATGCTTCCAACAAACCCTATTCCACTGGCAGCTTTCGCTTTTTTCAATAAAGACTTGCTAACTTATATAGCCGACATTAAAATCTGCCAAGCTCTTGAATCGCTAAGCGTTCCTAAATAAAATACGGGATTAGAGCACATAATATGCTTTCGTTTTGCTGTGAGCCCAGCTGAGGTTCCTTTGAGATTAACCAAATCTGGGATAGATGTGATGATCTGAATGACAAGTGACCTGCAAAACCAAAATTAAATCTACTTCAGGGTCAACCCGTTTGGCAGCCTCAAATAACAAAAGGCCAAAAGCAGAAATAAGCTCTATAATTGGCAGCCTTGCATTCTGGACACACCTGAAGGGACTAACTGAAGTGGTGTGACCGTACTGACTACCATCATTACTATCACGCTGCTTGAAGGCGAACACGACAGAAATGACCTTAATTTGTCAAATGTGAGAATAGACAGACAGACTGGAAAAGAGCAACACATGTATTTAAAGCTCTGGCTGTCCCGGTGACCTCTGACCCCGCGATAGCCTCAGGCTGACGAGCAGCTCATGACGACGGACGTCCAGGGCTCAAGTTAATTGTGCATGTGATGAAAGCATTTGGACTTCAAAAAGCCCATGCATGGGGAATTGAGTTTTACTGGCCATGCAGTTGCTGCACTGAGCTCAAACGCACACTGCACTGCATACAGTACATACACTACACACTCCAGTGAGCTTCAGAAGCTTTCCAGCTAAAGGCTTCTGCTTAAACGCTTGAACTTTAGGTTTGTAGACAAATAGGAGTTATACAAATATAGACACGTCTACAAAGTGCTTTATAAAAATGCTTCTCACATATGTTCCTCCTTCTAAAGCATCCCAGGATTCACCTCATTACGTTTGTGTCGTGTTTTTCTTTTCTTTTTTTTGCTCCACTTCCATTTGTATTTACTTAAGAATGTTTATTATTCTAACATGTGGGAAATAGTCATGTTATAATAGTCATAATACAGCAGATTTGTTATAGTAAAATACTGTTATATTTACAGTTTGTGGAAGTAAAAAACAAACAAACAAGTTATCTTTTAATTCACAGTAAAAAATTCACGTAAATCTACATTCCCAGAATTCCCCGTTTGGCAGTTCACATTTGATATTTTTGTTTTGTTGAATAAACTCTTTCTTCTATATTTTTTACATACGAGTTAGGGTTTTATGTCATGTCAAATGTTGTTTAATTCAGGCTCATTTCGTTATTTTATTGTCATGATGGTGTTTTGTGTTTGTTCGCACCTTCTGTATATTAGTATCTATGTGGAAAAGCTGCTTGTGATGAGCTGCGATTCATTCTGCATCTTTCCCATCAGCTGTTTTTGGTGGTTGCCAGTGTGTTATAAAGGTACAAAACAGATAGTCCTACTTCAATAGGTTGGTAAATCAACATTAAATCAGTTAATGAAATGCAGGATTTTACTGCAAATTTAAGTTAAAACTGTAAAACTTAAAATGCTGCAATTTATTACCACGAATTTCACAGATTCGTATGTATTTATATATTTTTAACTCTGTGATTGGTGAATTATATAGACTAATCGGACTGAATTCTGATTTACTGGCAGTGTAAGTATGATTCACTGAACTAGTTTTCATGCTGTAGAGAAGAATCATTTAAAATCCCCTGATGCACAGAAAATGTGTCGGGTCACCGTGAAGCCTTCTCAGTGTTTCAGCAGAGTAACGCTTTAAATTTAGGATAAAGTTACTTAAATACACACAAACATTAGGATAAACACACATGTTTGTAGTTCATTAGAGTCTGCGCCCACTTCAGCGTCAGCGTTTATTTATTCATATATTCACGTATTCATGTGATAAAAATGCTCGTACGTTGTAATTAAAGCTCACGTGTGAATGCTAGATTTGCGTATTTTTTTAAATCAACACGGCAGTCTAATAGCTGTAGGTGAAGTTTAAATTACAGCTCTGAGTTTGATTTCATATCTGAAGGGCTGATGGAGACACTGATATGATGTTCAGAGTTGATGAGGAGCTCCTGACGCAGCGGTTATAAGACAGAAAGTCTCCGCGGAGCTCAGAGGAGAACCTGAACCTCCCAGAGGAGACGCTCCTGAATCACAAACCACACCGACACGTCACTCCTGAGGATCCACAGACCCACGACAACCGCACAATAACACGGGGACGGGGTTAACCTTGTGCAGACAGACAGACAAAGCCAATAGCACAGATTTGTGATACTGACCCTTTGCTAACGCAATACGAACCAATCCTTTCTTAACTGCTGCCTTCCAACATTTTCTCAGAGGTTTTTTACTCTTTTCTAATGGAGGATCAGTGTGTTCAGAAAAATACAGTTTAAAATGAGGCGTTTCTCCTTTCAGTGACATTCTGATTCATGTTACGGTGTAACTTCTTTAAAGAAAAACATACAAAATGCTTTGCATTGTCACAGTTCACTTCAGTCCAGAAAGGAAGGATGTATCATCCATGTTTACCACTTTAGGCACATTTTTACTGAACAATAAATTTTCAAGAAGGGTGGAGCTTAGTAATAGGTCTCTTAAAGGGACAGTTCACCCAAAAATGAAAATATCCCAAACTGTATACTACAGAACAAAAAAGAATATATTTTGAAGAACGCTGGTAACCAAACTGTTTTGGTCACCATTTGGGTACCACTGACTTATAATATCTTCTTTCATGTTCCACAGAGCAGAGAAACTCAAAATGGTTTCGAACAACATGAGTATATGATGATCATTTTTGAGTCGCACTGTCCCTTTAAGATGATCAGCACCTGCTTTAGTCTCATGAATGATGTCATTTACTGAGCTCTGTTTCACTCAGGCTGGTCACTTTGAGGTCAGTAGGTGTCTGACACTGCTCGTCGTTTTATTCTGATGAAAAGTGACTAATCTGAGGTGTGTCAGATGTAGACTGCAGATTCCTGATGCACGTGCAAACAAAGAGAAGTGAACCGCTGGTGGAACGAGCAACCGTTTCTGTGCCTCAGAGTGTCCTGATGTGACTCCTGAACTCTCAGCTGAGCGAGAGCGCTGTGGAGGACAGGATAACGCTCAGCCAAAGACAGGTGAAGGATTGTTAAAGTGCGACATGCTGACAGCACACGCACAGACTAATTCCCTTTTTTAGACTTTTTTTGTGCATGAGTGCAAAATTCATCATGACAGCCATGCAGCTTAAGGGTTTGTGCTCATTTGCATTGCAGCACTGGAAACAGAAGCAATGCGATATTTCTCAACGCTTTGAACTGAAACTCTCAGCAGCTGTTTGAGTTACAAAATATCAGACCAGCGGTTCTCAAGCAGAGGTGCAGTTCATCACATGAAACACAAACACACACCACACTCACGGTCTTCTTACATATTTCAGCACAGCTTGAGTGTCCAGATGCATCGCACACGTCTGACCTGCCATCTACAGATGCACTGTCAGAAAAACAAACATGCAAAAAATAGTAAACTATTGTTATTGGTAATATGCACCTTTTTGAGGGGTAAATGAGGTACAAAGCTGTTGACAAGATATTGAACCTCTAATGGTAAACTTTTTTTTTCCCAACTTTTTCCCCCAAAATTTCATTTTTAAAAAAAATTACATTTTTCACATATTCCTCCATATTCCTAAAACACATAATATTTGTGCTTTTTAAAAAGGATTCAGCAGTAACGGCCCACAGCTTCAGCAAAGCTGGACGAACCACTGTTAGAATGAGCCTAATCTCAAAAACAGACAGATCAGTAGAAATTTAACTTGATTAACATCAGTCTTTTCAACTAGACCTGTTAATGCATAGTGTATTTGCTGGACTGCACTCATTTATTTTATTTATTAATTTTTTTAACTTTCAAAATAAAAAAAGCATTTACTGATAAAATAATGCGAAAAACAAACACACAATCAACAAGGAGCATTTAACCATTGTGAATAAAAAGGGAAATAATGCATTCTGGATCCATCGCAGTGCTCAGTCAGAGCATGTTGACTTATCTCTGGACGACAGACACCGAGAACTCAAACTAAGCCTGTACTCCACCGGCTGTGAGAACCAAGGTACACTGTCAGGACAATTGGTAATGCTGGTCTGAATGTGGAGCTCTTCCAAAGCGCATTCATATGCAGAAGAGACCGTGACCTGAGAACGAGAGAGAAAGAGAGTGGACCACAGACTGGTCAGGACTGACATCCATCTGCTTACTGAATAATGCGGATGAAAGGAACCGGTTAGAGAACGGTCAGCACCATCTGCTAGTTTTACAGAAGAACACTGAAATCATCTCTGCCTTTACAATGCAACATTTGCTCTAAATACTAGTGATGTGTTGCATGCGGAGAGTTCATGTCTCCAGTGGATTAAAACAATCATACAAGCCTTGTCTGTTTCATCCTCAAACTCTCTCCTCTGAAGCTGCAGCCCGTGTCACACCAGAGCACTCGTGTCTGCTTTTCTCTGCATTACTTCATTTCAGAGCTGCGACCTCCAACATGGGCAGAACGTGCGGTGGGCGGGCCGCCTGGCGTCTCATTGGCTCGTATGATTCCCGCTCGCGTTTGATTGGCTGCCAATGACATCATACCAGAGACTAGTGACATCATAGTGGAGAGACGCCGTGAGGCTTCGACGCAGTCTGAGCTCAGCTCACTCGAGTTAGAGGAAGATGATGGGAGTACTCATCCCAAACTTTCATTTGATAACGCGAACGGCTGCAATGCGGCTCTGAAGGTCCCCGCGGATGCAGTGCGCATCAGATCCAGCCCCGAGTCCCTGATGCTGTCCAGCTCCGCGCTTGCTGAAGAAACACATCCAGACAGAGCTCGAGCTCTCCGAGAGAGGGCCTGATGGACTGATAGCACACTGCATGACATCATTATGCTGAGGAAAGAGAGATTGATCCGGCCACGTCACCCCTGGTCACCAAACTATTGATGCGCGCAATCATCAGTGCATTGTGCAACGCTCACCAGTGTACATTCAGAGGCACATCTTAACATACGTAGCTCTCTATATTAATCTTTGGAGAAGTTATGAATTACATGCACATGTTTTCAATGATAATGGTTTACCAAATGCGTTTTAAATGTGGGACACTCACCTTTAGTTGCTCCACTGTGTCTAGAAGTGGAAAGCAATCATTCTCATTACGGATAGTCCAATAATCCCACAGCAGAAAAATAATTAAATAAATCCTTCAAAGGACGTGCGTTTAGAACAGGAGCTCTCCAGTGCGTGCTGGCCTATAACAGAACACAGACGAGTTTAACTTCAACGAAGAAATTATTTAATGCAGCTGAGTTCTCTGCTCTTTTTTTTTTTTTGGATAAATC